CCCCAAAACCCCAAAACCCCAAAACCCCAAAACCCCTTTTAGAGTTTTATTAGTATTTTGTGATAAATTAGGGTAAATGGCATTTCATTGCTCAGTAAAGACTCAGAAGAAGGGTATGAGGTGTTTGAGTGTGGGGTTGATGGAGTTTAGGTGGAAAAAGAGAGAAAAGAGAGGAAAGGAGTTATTTGAGGTAAGTTTAAGAGGTTAGAAAGGAAAGTATGTTGGATTTTATACTCTCAGATTTTTTAATCGTTCGGAAATGTTATGTTTAAGTTGAGTTTTAAAGTTTTATATTTGTTTGGTTTAGAGATATACCAGAAAATGATGAAGAATTAGAATCTCCCCTTGGGAATAGTATGATGATTAATAAAAGGAAATCAGCATCCGAAATTAAATCATTCGATAGCACTTCGCCTACTAAATGGACAAATAAGGCTCTGAAATATAGCTATAGAAACACAAAATTAAATAGGTAAGAATATAAGATTTTCTGCAGGTAAAATGAAAAATTTTAAACTACCAAAAGTCATTTTTGTAGCCCTAGACTCTCAAAGGACTATCCTTGTTGCAGACATAACACTAAAGACTCTTATAAATCAATATGACTCCAGCTTGGTCTGTATGCTCATTATTTTCTGGATCATTACTTTCTTTTCCTTCTCTCATTTCCTAACATTAATAAAATCATTCACTTCTATCTCTGACTATCAAGTTCTATCAAAATTCTGAAGCCTTCTTGTAGGAGTAAAAAATCATCTATTTTTAATGAATCTAAGTGTTTGAAGGGATCATTAACCCTACTTAAGCTAAACTTGATTAATTTTAATCTAACCAAAAAGACATGTTTTGGCAGTTCATCACCATTAGTTTCTCTTTCATTAAGTTAGGACCCAAGAATAGGCTATATCTTTTCCAATCTTAAAGCATACCGATGTTGGCAGTTTAAGACTCAAGATTTTTTCAGGCTATTTAAGGAATATATCAGAAAATTGACTTAAAATTTTATATATTCCTTTAAATACAAAATCTCATGACAATTTAAAGACTCATGAATCTATAGGCTAGTTCATAAAAACTCAAAAGGAAGTCCATCAGGTATAGCTTTGATCTCTGAAACTGCAGATTTCATGAAAATCAGGAGTAACAATTTGTCAATAATCAGCCTTGGAAGGTAAGTATATTTGTCTAATCAGGTTACAGCAACTCTAAAGCTGAAGAGCCTCAGGAAAGTTCACTCTCACGGAACAGTTCCCCCACAAAAATTCCAAATAGTTTAAAATAAGTTGTCAAGAAGAGCAGAGAATCTCTCTCAAAAAGGTCTCGGTAGCAAGAGATTTCTTGATCGAAGTAAAGACTCTATTCCTGAATTGCCAGATATTTCTGTATTTGCCAAGTCCATCGTGGAGACAGAAAGAAAATGGGAGAATACAGAGACAACAAGTATCCTAGCTAATGACGAAAAGAAGGTGGAAGATTACTCTAACATAGAAAATCTCACTAGGTATTCTGTCCTGAGTAAACACCTCAGAAATAAAGAACGCCGGCATTATAGTGTAAAGAAGAGAACTACTAAGCCTGTGTTTCTTAAAAAGGAGCAAACCACAGATACTGAAGAGACAAGTAGCTTCTGGTCTCTCCTAGAGGACCCAACTAAGATAGAAAAGATCATTGGAATCTTGACCGATCTTAAAGATGATATCATTCGAAGAGATCTCGAGAAGATCAAGAATCAAGTCACTAAGAATTCGGTCATTGGCAAAATCCAGGATTTTAGCGACAAGTGAATGAAAGTCATTAAGGTAAGATTATTATTACTATTTCATGCAGAAACAGCAGGAAATCATTAAGAAATTGTCTAAACTCTCAATGCCAGTGCTGCCAAGAGATAATTCTAACATTAAGCTATCTAATGAAAGTCGGACTAAGAGTGTGAATTCCTCTCGTGAAGGCTCTTTCTACTCAAATGTGAGACAAAGTAACCCCACTTCTCTCAAGGTTGATGAGAATTTGTACAAAGAGTTAGTCAAGAAGCTCAAAGGTATGATTTTGTTGAATAATCCTCTAGTTATCATAAGCAGCAAGGATAAAGAACTAGAGTCTAATAACAAATCCATTGATACTTTAAAGGACAGGATTAAAATGTTGGAACAGGAACTATCTGAGCTCAAAAAGCAATCTAGTATAGTAATAAACACTGATATCACCAAGCCAACTATCGAGGAAGATGACTACAATGGGAGTATCTACTCTAGCGAGACTGAAGATGTGTATTGAATGAAGAATTTATCAATGAGTAATTACCAGCCAAGGATAAGCAAGTAGTTTTATCGATACTGATATGAAGGAAAGCCACACCAGTTTCGTAAATACCTGGAAATATTCAATTTTTATACGAATGTTTGGGGTTTTGGGGTTTTGGGGTTTTGGGGTTTTGGGG